GGATCAAACTCAGGTTTTGACTAAGCCATACCCCTAATTCCTCCTTCAGCCACATTTACAACCATGTGAACTGCTGGATATTTATTGTCTATTTTGGGTTATAAGAAAATACTGTTTTATATTGTTGTTCACATTGTTCCAGTTCTGGTCACTGGGAAGCCTTGTGGTTGACTCCTGTGTCTGTGTGACAGGTTCCTGATCTTTTCTTTTCCAGCATGTCTTTAGTTTTACCTTCTTTCTGGCACTTCAGTCTCCAGGCTCATCTTATATTTTTTCCTTCCACAGCCTAAGAATTAGTCATTTACTTGGAGATTCCTGGTTCCTTTTATCAAAGAATATTAGAAACTGGGATCTGACCCATTGGTGTGTTCATTGCTACTGAGGTGTCATGACTTCTGTGTTATCTCAGGGGACAGAGCTAGAAGTGTAAGGCCAAACCATGTTACACACATGCAGATCATCATTTCTGGATTCCTCTGTCTGTCTATGGTAAAGCTGTTCTTTGTTGAGCTTTCTATATTGTACTGAGTAGCTAACAATAAAAGTATAAATTTCTGCTTTCTACTTCCAGTAGTAAAGAGAGTGAGGGTAAAGAGAGAGACCCTGGTGTAATGTGACTTATGGCTCTGCCATTCTCTAGTCAGATCACGTCATGTTAGAGAAGAGATCCTAAGATGTTAAGGAACCACATAATGGAAAAGTAAGGATTCAAATTACGCTTTTCAGAATGGAATCTGTTTTCCTATATTTCATGCCTCTTTGTAACTGGTCATTATTCTTGGCTTTGTAGTGTCGATGCAAAAGCATAACTCTCACCTCAAAGGGAATAAGAGATAGTTTATTTTGGAGCCAAATATGAGAGACCAGGGCTGGGGAACACAGATTCAGGTTTCCCCAAATTCCATGTTCCAGCATGGTAACAGTTGCCTTACATTTTTATAGTAACAGAACAAAGAAAAGTCATAAATCAAGACACTTTTCAAATACATTGGTGGATACATTCAGTAGGCAGGTAGCAAAGGAGGGGGTTTCTACTATGGGTCTCAGGTGCTCTCTGATGACAGTCTTAGCTTTTTGATGGGTGAGACCTGGTGGTCTTCTAAGTTAATACATTTTATTGGTCACAAGAATGTTAATTCAGAAACAGAGGTAAGCAATGTTTGTCTATTTATGGGGTTAAAGATATCCCCAGATAGTCTGTGAATGGGCTCTGGATCTGCAACATTCTAGACTCTCCACAATCTCTGGAGTGATGATCAGTTGGAGTCTTGTAGGAAGTTCAATCCAAGGTGCAGGCGTTCTTTTGAGAACTTTCTTTCACAGTATCAAAGTCAATTATTGACCACTGAGATGTTTTAAGCATATTTTAAGTATAATTTTGTTGGTATATACAATAAAAGTCATGCCACTAATGAGAGAGCTTTCTGTCTAATATGTATCAGATACATATCTGAGACTAGAAAACAAAGGCCTGAAGGCCGGGTGTTACTGAGTGTGTCTACTAGTGGTTATCTTCCTTGTTTTACTTTTTAGAACTATCTTTTTAAAGCGCTTTCTGCTCTGAGGAGGGAACCTCAGGACTCCTATGCAGACACTTTCTGTACACACCTGTGCTTTTTAGAAATGGAATGCAAAACAACGAAGGAATTGTTTCTTGTCATCCAAGAAGCTGGAGATGAAATACAAAGCAAACAGACACAACGGCAGCCTCTACGGCTTTCTCTTGGTAGGACAATGACACAGCTCCTATCTTTTAAATTACTTTTGGCAGCTAGTTAAGCAAAGAACCCTGAGGGTTCCACAGCTTAGGATGCCTTCAAGCCTTCTGGGCCCTGGTACTTTTGAGGAATGTGTTTATACTTTCTAAATAATATCTTGCCACCATGTGCTGAAAAATCTCTGTCCTTTTCCATTTTTACCTTATCCAGCTCCAAAGACTTAGCATTTATTTTTGTGTAATACACCATGACCATCTAATACTTTTATTGGAAATAAATGGTAACAGCTGTTTCTGTGCATACAAAATAGAATAATGAATCCTCACCTTGACTTGATCTCTCTGAATTTCTCTAGTGTAGAAATGATGAGAAAGCTCTTTTGGAGTCTTCATCCTAGTATGCAACAGCCTTCATCTGTTTGCTGTTATCTTTCTCTTTAGGGAGAGAACATTTCTACAGGTCTTTCTCTATCCTAGTATTTCCATTGGTTTTTTTTTTTTGTTTGTTTTTTGAGACAGTATCTCTCCAGCTGGCCTGAAACTTGCTATGTAGTCCAGGCTAGCCTGGATCTAGCAGATATCTTCCTGCCTCTGCCTCCTGAGTACTGGGACTAAAGCTGTGCACCATCACCTTTCCCTAATATTCCCATCTTCACACAACTTCTCCCATATTAAACAGTGTGTAGCTACACACAGAGACATGAGCACTCTGAGATCCTACTTCATTTCCTCTGTAGCATCATAGACTTGACTTCTTCAGCTTTTCAGTCGCATGCTTTCCTCTTTGACATAAACTGTGAGAGTAGGGAATTTGTCTGATTTTCTGCTCTATCCCCAGACCTAGAAGAGTGTCTGGAATATAACAGGTGTTCAGGGAATACGTCTGAATGAATGATGTAAGTTTGAACTTCTGGTAACTTAGTCTTTGATTTGAATATAAATGCAAACTGGAGACTTGATTTATGAGGCTATTTTCATTTTATATTGTAGATAGATGAAATTAAATCATATTATGTAAAATGAAAATTTATCTATTTGCCCCCAAATCTCAGGATTTATGCTAAAGATGTGTGTTATACAGATGGGAATTATACAGTTGTTCCAGTAATGAAATGTTATGATCATACATAAGAACTCTGAAATCCTCGCCTAAGTATCATTTAAGAACTTGGTAGAAGAACTGAAAGCAGCCTTCTTAAAATTTTTTTTTGAGTTGAATTACCTTCAAATTTACCCCCAAGAAATCTTGAACCCATCCTCAGTGAAATTTCCCTATTTGAGTCATCATTTTAATCAGATTTAACAGGAAAATGAGTTTTTGTTGCTATACAATGTTCTGACTAATGTTTGGCAACATGGAAATATTTAAAAGGATATACTGTAAGATAATGATTCCCATAAAGGAGTATCAGCACTCATTTGAATATATCACCTGCCAGGTTTATTTTTAAATCATGTTGCTTTAAAATATACTTTTAAGATAGCTAAAGGCTACATAACAAGAAACAATGCCAGACAGGATATACCTTCCTTTGAGTTATTGGCCAAGGTGGTGCAAGAGACTCCCAGACAGTAACCCAGCATAGAACTGGGAAAATGAACAGCAGACCCCAATCTTATCTAAAGGATTATTAACAACTGATTGCTGCTAGATGAGGAATAGCTGATGTTCCTAAAACAAGAATCTCTAGATAGGTTGACTAGATTCAGCAGATGGACAAGCATTGGGGAATGACTGGGGGTGTTGACAACACAGTGGACAGTAACAGGGATGACAGAGTATCTGGGCTCCAGTATGTGGGAGGGGGGAGGGTGCCACTTGGGAAGTGGGTATATAGATGAATAAGATTGTGTGGGATGGTCTATATGATATACACACAGAAAAATCAACAAATTTTTTTAAAAAAAGACATATTTGAGGAAGAAGCATAAAAATTTACGTCATGTTAAATAGTAGAGGTGATAAACATTACCAGTGAAATCTACCTGATGACTTTATACCTGTACTCAGGTACTAAGGATCTGAGTAACCGTGACTAGTAATCATCAGATACATAGAGATTAAAGACACATGTGCAAACATCTAAGCATTAGTAGCATTAAAAATGTAGGAAACAAAAAGACCCCCCCCCAAATGTTGGAAACAGCATATTTTAAAATAAAATGGAGATCTTCTTTAAAGGGTAAAAACTCATTCAATTTTATATCTTACAGGATTTATACTGAGTTCAATATTGTATAATGGTATTAATTCAACTGTGAACCTAAAAATTTACAGCCACTTTTGAAAGAGATGTATCCTTGCTCTGGAGTGTGTTACTGAATGTGTTAAAGCTGTAATGAAATGCTTCTTCTAATCATGTGGTTATTAAATTAAAAAAATTCTTCAAAGCATAAAAATTTCCTCCTTAATAATTAATAAATGTGAAAAACATTACCATTGACATCTACCTGATGACTTTATATCCATGCTCAGATGCCAAGGATCTCAGAACATAACCAACTGTGACTAGTAATAATCAGATATACAGAGATTAGAAGTACATGTGTAAACATCAGCGTTAATTGCATTAAAAATGAATTTTTCTGTATGAAACTGTGTATTTTAATAAGGAAATGGAGTTCTTTTGTAAAGGTTAAAACCTCATTTAATTTTATATCTTATAGGGTTTATACCGAGTACAGTATTGTATAACTGCATTAATTCAACTGTAACCTAAAAATTTACAGCCAATTTTGAAAGAGATGCATCTTAGCTCTGGAAATTGTTATTGAATATGTCAGTGCTGTTATAATGAAATGCTGCTTCTAATTATGTGGTTATTAAATAAATAATTAAAAAAAGAAATTCCTCCCCCCCCCAAAAAAAAAAGATTTCAAGTTTCTGAAGTTCTTAGGAGTTTCTTATAGAGCTGATGGTCAAACTTGGGACTTTGCTTGTGCTAGACAAGCACTCTATTACTGAGCTACATCCCCAGCCAGTTGAACTACTACTTATATTTTATTTTTAATATCTATGCTTTTATTTGCTTAAGCAACAATAAGGTCATATCAAAGAGCTTATAACTTGATTTGCTATTTTATAAATAGGCTTTTCAATATAAAAGTTTTAAAGTCAAAATTCTTGCAGTATTATCTCCAGAACAATAAACACAGAAATGAAAGATAATGTGGTCAATAGAGGTCACAAACTTTTTACTAACCGTCTTTGCTCTAATGTGGAGGACGAGTAATGTTTTTGTACAAGACTGACATATCTTAGTATCACTACTTTCTGTTTCAGAACATTGCGGAGTCGTCCATGGCTGTTGTGTTAAGTCAGCTGCTGCCTATGATTAAGCCCTCAACCCAGAGGACCAACAATGACTATAGCCCTGAGGAGCTGCTGATCCTTCTCATATATATTTACTCTGTCATTGGCGAGTTCCCAGTGGACAAAGACCTGAGGGAAGCGGAAGAAAAAGTGAAGAAAGCATTGGCTCAGGTGTTCTCTGAGGAGTCCGAGTTGCCACCTTTGCTGCAAAAAATCACAGGTGAGTGTTCAGCACAATTGTAGATACTGCTAATATAGAGATCGGATGGAAGTGAAGGCTGTTATGGGAGGAGGATGTAACTGTGTTCAGCAGAGCTGTTTGGGCGTCCATGACACCTGATGAGTAAGTACTAGCCACCTTCAGGGTCAGGTTCTTTCCCATAGTTTTCTTTTCTAGTAGTGATAGTAGAATGGCTTTCTAAGTGCTTGTCAGAATTCATTTTCCTTGGAGTCAAAGCCATGTTAAAAATAGCAAAATACTCATAGAAAAATATAAAATGTAGTATATCTTACATGCAATAAGGTTTTGAAGGTTTGAATTCTTATTTCAGACTTCAAAACTTTTATTTTGTATGATGTTATTCAGTGCCATAGAACTGGAACTTCTCATTTTCAGGAGTAATTTCATATTTGACTTTCATATTTCATTTGAATTTTAATTATTTGGTACTAGCCAAAATGATACCCTAACATCCTAGTAAAATAGGTTATGCTAGTTTGGAAGAAATACTCAAATGTAACCATTTGCACTCCAGTCAGAGCTGTGATATAACTCATTAAGACATATCTATACAAAGAAGTTATTAAAGCTTATACATGAAACATGAATACTTTAAAAACATTTCAAATTTCCATTTATTCATTCGTTCATTCTGTGTATGTGTGTGTGTGTGTGTGTGTGTGTGTGTGTGTGTGTCTATATTTAGTTGTATGTAGATTTCTTTGCTCAGAAAAGCTCAGCTGAGGCAGGTGATAACATCCTCCTGTCCCCTGTTGGGCCTCATGGGAAAGAGCACTGAGATTTCTCTGAAGTAGCCCATGATGCTGGAAATCTTCATGTCATGTCCCACATATTGAATGAAGTTTACACAGGAGTGAAACATTTTCTTGCTTAGTATAGATCCTGTTTTCCAGCTTATAATCTAATTAAGAAAACTTGTGGAATTTGTTCCTGTTTCATTAAATATAGCACTATATATCATTACATGTGTTTGTTTGACTAGAAATAAACGTTGACTTAGAATGGTTTAATATGGTGTATACAATACTTAGAACAGAGTTTTATTTATAGTAAATTTGGATGCTAGAAGAATTTAATTGGAAATTATGTTTAAATGCATAATTTCAAAGGCAGACAACAAAGACAGTGTGCATGTTTTAATTAAGGTTATTTGGATAGATCTTTATAATGTTTGTAGTTGACATTTCATGTTTGGAGATGAAGTCATGTTCTAGGAATATTCACTTAATATTCACTCAGGGTATTCATTGACCCAGCAATGAATTTTTTTATTAGTTTCTTATTTAAAGTTGCTCAGAATATTGCATTTTCTTGCTTTTAAAATATTTATGTGAATTCATGTTTATATTGGGAAAAATATAAACTCATGATTTGAAGAATAAAAAATTTTTTTGGAAATTTCAGTCTATTTTTAAATTTTAGATATACTTTATTTTATGATATTACGTATACATTCTTGCCTATATAACCTTTGGATATGCAGTTTAAACAGAGTAGAGAAGATGTTACTTTTGCATATATGAAATAACCACTGGAACACACACACACATGCACACGCACACACACACACACACACACAGAGCCTCTGTAGACACCATAAGGACTTTATTTCTAAAGAAAGATTTGTATTTGGTCAGAATGGACATATCTTTATTAATTATGTTAAGAACTCAAAGGTACTGAAAGAAGGGTTTGTATTTATAGCTCACTGCTGAGGAGAATGTGTCATCTGCATATAAGGATGAAAATTAATCATATAGAATTGGAGTACTTGTGACTCATTTTGTAAAAATAGGAGAAGCTATCTCAACATGTATCCAGAGAACAATTATCTTCGAAATATTCTTAGTATCCCGGAGCAAGGTTACCTAGGGTTTCATGGTAAACTTGCCTTCGGTGCTGTGCTGTGCTACTCCAAAGCATTGTCTTTGCCTTCTTACCACTGAGTAGCAGAATTTTTTTCGTGCTTGATGAATATTCTGTGGTCAGTGAAAATGTCTTCTAGTTTCAAAAATAAGTAATTAGCCAGGTGTAGTGGCAACACATCTTTGAACCTAGCACTCAGGAGGCAGAGGCAGGCAGATCTCTGTGAGTTCAAAGCCAGCCTGGTCTACATAGTGAGTTCCAGGCCACCTGGGGCTACAGGGAGACCTGTTTAAAAAAGACTGAAAACAAACAAACAAACAAACAAACAAAAAAAACAAAAAAGGACCTAATCAATATAAGAATGCTCTAACTGTAGATAGGAAAAGAAAATGACCCTTTTTCTGCATTAAAAAGTTAACCATGTATCATTTCTCCATCACTGAATGATAAAACTAGCATTTGAACCCAGGTTCTGTGATATGGAACCCATGTCTCTAAACATGGAATTCCAAACATGCTACATGCCCATGTAACCGCTGTAGTCATCCCTGCTGTGGCTCAGACTCGCTTACAATACTGTTTCATGTCATACTCCGCCATGCTATACTCTTACCTTCTGAGCAGAGAATTCATGGTATGGTTAAGATTTTAGCTGTGGCCTGCACTTTTCATCTGTGTGTTACCTCCTTGTTCCCCAAACCATCCTATTTTCATTTACCCTCTTTTCTTCCTGCATTGTTACAAGTTACAATATTATTTGTAGACATAGAAATCTATTGATTGCCTAACTTTTTAAAGCAAGAATAACAAACTTTAATTCTGCTTATTTCAATAATATTCCTTGATAGTAATTGCCCTTGTGTAAAATTTGTATTTCCTTTTATCTGTTCATTATGTAATCTATTTTTAACAGTTTCTTTCATGTGCCTTTATTCTTTCTTTGTATGGGAAAGGTAATAAGAAACTGTGATTGGTAAGACAAAACAAAACAAAATAAAAACTTAGCATGTTGGTCAAAAGCATCATGCTATCTTCTTTTTAATCTGCCGTCTTTTTAATAGATACTTCGTGGGGACATTTCCAGAGTAGTTGGGCAGCTCTTTTTTATTCACATAAAATAACTAGGGTTGACTTCTTGAGTGTTGGGGGTGGGGGGTTATGAAAAGAAAACTGGCCTGGCCTGCTTATGCTGTTTGGTGTTATGCTTCCTCCATCCTGCTAAGTTCAAAGAGAGTATCGGTTTCTGTATACTTCTGTGTTTGCGTGCCAGGCACAAGGAAAAATAAAGGAAAGTCATTTGAACTTTCTTCAGAGAATGAAATCTAATGCAAATTTTAAAGATCTGTGTAAGCTTGGAATGTCATCCTACAGAGAGGCATATCAGAAAAAGCATAGGATTTGAATGAAGAAATCCTTGATTTAAAAGTTCTGGCTCTGCCATTTTCTAGCAGTGGGGGGTGGAGTCTTAGCTGGCAGCTCTCTCTGCTTGTGTCTTGATACTGAGCATTATTACCGTTATTGACCATTTGTAATTTTTGTGAAAAATGATGTTCTGTGTGAGAACTGATTTGGGGTTCATATAGAGTTGTAAATGAGTAATTACTATTTTGATAGCATCTGTCACATAGGGTCAAGCTCCTCAAGCCTTTTCACCTGATGCGTGTAAGCAATAAGATGTTTGCATGGGATGCTAAGGTGAGTGGGCAGATGTGGCTCAAGGCAACTGACTAGCCCAGGAAGCGCTGGCAATCTGAACCAGCAGCTGACCTGTGGACTAAGATGAAGCAGCCGCTTAATATAGCTGCAGCCTGTTAGAACCAAACAGTGCTGTAAAGGACATAGGTCAGAAAGCTCTGAATTAGGAAGCAAAGAAAAAAATATAACATTCTTTTAAATTAAATCATATCTTAAAAATTATTATTGATATATTGATTATTGATATATATATTAATTATACATATTAATAGTTTTGCTGTGGTCTATTTGTGCCCACCCTCCTTTCCACTCTGTTTTGGCCTTCCTTAGATCTCTACCCTTCCATGCCTCTCACCCCCAACCCTGCTTTCCTAATAGCCCATCTTCTGTTTTTATGCATTTGCTAGAAAAGATATCTGTCTTTCTGTGCCTGGCTTATTTAGCTTAGCTGATGTCCTCCACTCCCACTTATTTTCTTGCAAATGGCCAAAGTGGTTTCTGATACACAAAACTATTTTGGAGAAAATTTTGCTAAACAGTTTTTGTTACTGCTCATTCATTTATTTTCCCTGAGTTTTTAATGGCATCTTTAAAGACAGGGTCATAAGGGCACTAGGTCTGTTTAATTAAGTTTTAATGTAAAGTAAGAGACTGAATAATTCAAAGCATCTCAGAATTCTGCAGTTCAAGAAAGAGGCATGAGAAAACCATAGAAACAGTAACTTATGTTCCTAAAACTCTTATTTTACTCCCTGTTGATAATAATGGATTACTGGTTTGTGCATCGCTACTTCAGGATTGTACCCAGGTGTACGTGTGAATATCATACTAGGTAAACCTAACAAATGTGGGTTTGCTTTTCTCAGCAGCATCAGAGGTTTCCTTCTTCAGTGTCCTGAAGCTGTAGTCTGTCACTGTGGTCATGATGCAGCACTTCTGATGCATTGTATCTAAGGCCTTAGATAAGGGGGGAAAGGTGAATGGAAAAGGCAGAGTCCCCACCACCCTTGTGTTTTTAGGAAAGCAATAGTTTTCTTGGAAGCCTCACCCAGAAAGAACAAAGCAAATTTTTCTATTAGAAGAAAAAAATGTGAGAAGGGACAGTAGGTAAGAAACATGTACTTGCCACAGTTTTCACTGTAGACTTCCTTGACAGGAAATTCTAAGGCAAGATAATGTACAAAGCAATTTCATTTTATACTTAAAATATTAGAATTGCTTTTATTGCAGATTCTGAAATAACATATTGTCATGTGCTGGCAGTGTTGGGCTTATATCACATTTTCAATTTATCAGTATTAATTGAACACATCTCTCTACTTAACATGATATTGAGCTTGCCAAGCTAGGAGCCCTGAGGCAGTATTAGCATGGTGTTGAGGCTCTGAACATAGAATTTGGAACAGGTTAGTCTGGGTTCTGGCTCCTATAATGTAGATTTAGAGGAGGTCATTTAACTTCACCAATTCTGAGCTTCCTCATAAATAAAATGAGGGTAGTAATAGCAGTCCAAACACATGAGCTAAAATGGCCAGGGTGCTTGGCCTAGATCCTAACACTTGCTGTATCATCATTGTTTTATGCTTGAGTAATAAAATCCTATTACTG